TGCGTCAGAGGATTCTGGCAACACTTCTGCCAGCCGCAATAGATAAACTACTTGTGAAAGCAGTATTGCCACACCTGTAACACAAATAACGTTAAAAGTAACCGGTTTTTGGAACCATATTAGCTTAGTAATTATTATTATTATTAAATCTATGACATTCCTTAATCTATATTTAAATTCCTCATGATTCCATTATATTTACCACGWGATAATATTGGATGGAAATAATAATAATTTATAAAYATTAATTTATGTTTTTCATAACACCAATAAATATTTTGTATTTTTAATTTCAAGTTATTAAATTTATATATAAAACTAATACATAAATATCGCATGATTTTGATTTGTTTTGTTAAAAAATGTTTAACGATATTAATTTAATAGTATCACAATTTCATTAAAATTCTATTATGATACTCTTATAAATTTCTTATTTTATCATTCTTAATTTTAACTCACAATAGTCAGTTGATGATTGTACATTTTTTTTCGCTGTAAAAAGTAATAACAGTTATCAGATATTTTTTAAAAATATGAAATTCCTGACGTCTTATCTGGAATCACAAGCTGTATTACTTTATTCTGTTTATTTTATGCCTATTTTTTTTTTATTTGATGAGAAAAGGCAAACAAATACAATCACAAACTGCAAATTCACATCGATATTAATATGCAAAAAGACACACAAGTATTATTGTTCAAAGAACAAAACAAAAATAAATATGTAAAAAATTTCTAAAACAATAACAAAAGAGAGAAAAGTGAAGTGAGAAAAAGCACTCGAGCGAAAGAATCAAATGGAGTGTAGTAGGTACACCAAGGCAAAGCCGTATTAAAATGTTTTATTATTGAAGTATTTATTATTTATTGTTGTGAAACGAGAAGGTACATAAGCTTCTACAAGTATACGGCTTGGCCTCTGGTGTTTCATTTAAATAAAATAAAAATCGTACAAAATCAATTAAAAGAAAATTTACAATTTTTTAAATAATGTAATTAATTTATTATTTTTAAAATTTAAGTACTATTACGTAACTGTTGGTTATTGTATAAGTCAAATAATTAATTTATACTATTGGGTGATGATTAAATWAAATWAATAGCTTTATAGTTCACATATGAATTTTTAAAATAAACGTAATAATGGTTATTAGAAAGAATATTTTAGACAAAATAAGACAAAAAAATGTTACTTTATTATGTTAATTTATTTTTTAAATGTATCGTAACGACGTATCTTGGTTCGTGCTTTAAATAAAATAAAAATAAAATTGGATTGCTTAAGAACTATAGCAATCTGAATAATTGTACTATGTTTTTGTACGATTTCTTGTTAATATTCATTCAAATGGTAAACAATATAAAATATATATTCTATTAAAAATATAAATAGATAGATAAAATTAAATTGTAAACATCACTAACTGTCACAAGATTTATTTTTATTTGGGAGGAATAGGGTATTTTATGGTACCTAGCAAGGGTATCGCGTCGGAGACTTGTGGAAGCGTTTCCGCCACCAAATTCAGGAACACTGTCAGTGATAGCAAGATGGTCACTCCTGTAACAACCAATTTATTTTTATGACCTAGAAAAATACATCTGGGAACATTTTTTTGATATAACAATGTTTTATTTAAAATTTAATAAAATTGTTTTCCGACTAACATTAATAATTGTTCTTTTAATATATAGTAGTTTTTTTTTATAATATAGGTAAGTAATGTATTGATTGTCCAATGAAGTGGTTCCTCCAAGTATCAAATGACAATGACATATGTCATCATGCAAGTTGATATTTTTGCTAAGTCCTACCTATAAGGGGAACCGCTTCGGACGTTGTTGGCATTGACTCGGCGACCAGATTCAGAAATACTGTTAGTGACAGTAGTATAGTTATTTCTGAAATTAACACTTAGATTATTTTTCCTAATATTCTCTTYTGATTATTTAAATGTTCCATGTATGATTAAATTTCAATATGTACTTTGTCTTCAAAAATGTATGTATAAATATTTCGAAAAATATTAAATAAACTACGCCATGATTTGTTGGCACAAAATTTATTTGAATTACACTTTATTGGAAAACGGATTTCAATAATTATATTGTAAAACATCAGATAAATGAAAATTTCCAAAATGTATAGATAAGTACTGAATTTTAAACCATACCTTATAGAAACSACTTGCATTTATTATATGAATTAATCTTTCAAAATATTGATATATTCACAGCATAAGCTAGCTATAGTAATCAGACGGTGGTGGTGATAACATAGTATTGTCGGTAAATAATTAAATATGTATAATCCCAAGCAAATATGATACTATTGTGGTCTATAGCAGATATATCGAAGGATTTGYTGAAAACGCCGTTTAAACGTAAATATAATGCAATAAAACGGTTTTATGCATAGACTTATTAATTTATCTTTGTAGATCTATAGTTAAATGCCAATATTAACCGTTTCACTATCAAGGGAATAAATCCATTTGATGCTCATGACGAAAATCTCGMTGATAATATGACGTCCATATTATGCTGTTACGGATTATACGTAAATATTACCTATTATCAACATAGTCTGGAAATCCTTGTATCCATTGTCTGTTGTACATGTATTCAGGTGCCGGTGTGAAGAACAAAATATTGTTAATCTCGTTTTTTATTTTTATCCTTTAACATTTATTTGTACCATCTCCTTATCCCTCACCTCTTCCGTCACAAAACAATGTACGCACACAAACCACAACACTTTTTTCCGCACTGAACACAGTCCACTGTAATAAAATGATTGTCTTTGTTTCCGGTTTCTTTATCGCATTCTTACCTAGTGTGAGCTTTTCTCCGCAGTCTGGAGGCARCGTAAAGCCCAGGAGAGCCATCGACGATATGAGCACGCACGGCACGATCAAGTTGAAGAAATAATACAACGTCCTCCTTCTAATCTTTATGGTAAACGTGATGTCTACGTATGGTTCTGGGCAACATGCGTAGTTTATCACATTCTTTTGTCCAGGCATACCTGTAAAGTGCAATTTCATTGGATATTGTAAGTAATATATACCTAGTAAATGCACAGTAAGAACAGTAATTATCTAGGCTCGGGACATAATGCGCGGAAAAACTTGAAAATATGCATAAAACATAATATTATGAACTGATTAAAGCTAATAATTYGAATTTACAATGTTTAAATATTTTGTACAATATAGGTACTCGGTTAACACTCAGTAGGTATTGCATTGTTATTGAAAAAAAGAAAATGCATTCTCGTTAGATTGT